ATATATATATATATATATATATATATATATATATATATATATTGTTGATTTGACATGTTTAATATATTTAAATAACTTTAGTTTATTTTAACCTGATCAAATTTAATTTAATGTATTTATACACGCCTTGAGTCATCATTAAATTTTAAATGTACAACTAACTAGCAATATTTTTAGCCCGATTCAAACGTTGAGTCGAATTTTTTTTTAGCACTCAATTAGTGAGTAATTTTTTTTCATAAAACATCATTCAACTTTTTTTTTTAACTTCAAAATTACTCAACCATAAAAATTTCACTTAGAAAATCGTAACCTATTGCTCAAGGGCATATTTAGGAGGGAATGAAAAGTGTTTACCTAATTCCCTTGATTAAAAAAAATTATATTATATATAAAATATTATTTTCTACTTAAATATATATACGTATATAATCAAATCTCTTAATTATACAAGATTAATTCAAGATAAAATTAATAATTCAGAGGATTCAAAATTCACCTAGATTCTCAGTTCGAAGTCTAGGCACCTCATTATTTTTTTTTTTAACCAAGTGATTATATGTTTTCTGATACCAAAGGAAAAGGTATATAAAAGACAAGATATGTGTAAATATACTATAAAATAAATATAAAAAAAACAAAAAAAGAAATTAAATTAATGTACTTTTAAAATTTAACAAATCTGATTAATTTATGCACAACATATCTCTTGCATTAATTATTTAGTCTATGTATTAATTTAAAAGGGTTTAATCTTCTTAGGTAGAAGTGAATAAATCACATGGATTGACCCTGATTACTCCACGTCCTTTATGGTCTATTATATTAAAATTATGTGATCAACTTGGAGTCATATAGATCCATTTTCTTGAAATTCACAAAAAGAAATTTTATGAAAAGTTTTGTAAATTTTTTTTCTATTTTTATTTATTTTTATTTAGCATTTATTTATAAAAAAAATAGATTTTTATTTTTAATTATTATTTTTAAAAGAGCAATTATTTTATTTCATATTTTATTCTTAGCATTAAATACTATTGTTTAAATGAATACTTTGTAATCTATTCTTTTGTTGTCGTGGACTTTTACCCTCCTCAAAGTTTCATAAAAATACCGATTATTAAGGCTGAATGGAAAAATGATTTTTTAGTCTTTTTTTAAAAAAATATTTAAATAAGATATTCTTATTTTTAAATTTTTTTAAAAAATATTTTTTTCTATTCAAATTATAAGTGATCAAGAGATTTCATTTTGTTTCTTAAATCGTATCTATATATAAAATAATAAGTTCAGATATTTATCTTTATATGTTACATTATTTTCAATTAATACCCCCGAAGCTTTGTATTTTACTCTAGACCTGAGATGCTCCTGTCTTGTTATGAATATTTTCAGACTTTTTTTTGCAGTTTGTTCATAATTTAATTTTTCAGATGTATTCAAATGCAGATTTGAGTAGCATTTTTTATTGTGTAAGTTTGTCAATAGCCATAAGACAATATGGTTCATTTTTTTATTGCTTAAATTATATTTTTTGTAGTAGTTTAATCCACAACAAATAATAATTTGAGAAAATCAAATTAATTCAATAATTAATATTGATTTTATTTGTTTGGTGTCCACTTATGGAATAATTATGTGTCTACCACGTATACTTACATAACAAAACCATATATAATGATAAAAGTAATCTAAAAATAATAAATATGACATTTTTACATTTCTGAATTATCTTATTAGAAATCATGATGATTTTGCCACTATAGTAAGCATATATTAATTATTTTTTTCTCCCTTGAAATAGAGATATCCAATTTCTTTATGCTCACACTATTTTTATTTTTATTAGAGAGAGAAGATCCAAGTTGGTCTCAGTTTTAGAAATAATACAAATGCTGGCATTGGACCAGTCGCTTAAATTTATTTATTGCTTTTAAAAAAGTATCAAATTTCTAAGAACATGTTTGGACAGTACTCGCTGGTCTTAATTTACGTGAGTTAATTTAATTTGATATGAAATTAAAATTAAATATTTTTTTTGTTTTAAAAAGAATTATTTAATTTGATTTGGAACGGAGTTTAAGAAAAGAAAGAAGACTTATTAATCTTGTGGTTCTAAATTAAAGTTATGTCAAATGTACCAAAACACTATTTAATCTTGTGATCTTAAACATGTCACGTGAAAAGTTAAAGTTAAGGTGTTGCCAAAAAAAGAAAAGGGACATTCTTTATGAAACAAACTAAAAGGGAAATAGGACATACTTTTTGAAATGGATGGAGTAATTTTTTAAGATTTTTAGTTTAAATAACACATATATATTTGTGTGTCTATAAATCTTTTTATTGAAGATAAATTAGCATTTTAAAATTAAAGTGTTACTAAATATTGAAATATAAGATTCTTTTGAAATGACTAAAAAAGAAATTAAGTCATATAAATTAGAATTGGAGTATGATTTATAAGTAAACAAAAAAATCATAAATTAAAATCTCTAACTTGTGATTTTTTGATTCATTTTGGATGAACAAATAAGTGCTTAAAAATATTTTTCCTTCCGACCCAAACATTACAATAATACTTAAATAACACATTTTAACTTTAAGGGTTGTTTTATTGCGAACGAGTTATTATGAAATTAATAATCATAGAATAATTTATTTTATCAGATGTATGAGATAATTTAAATCATCATTATGGTATAAATTTTCTGATAATAATCTAAGAATTATTCAATACCTCCAACCAGACGCTCAGTAAAATAAAGGGAAAATACACAAGTACCACTTCAATCTATACCCGAAATTCCAGAGACACACTTATATTACACTAAGATCCTATTACCTCATTGAACTTATTTTATAAGTAATTTTCAACCCCTTTTCGATCTACGTGATACTAGCCTGAAAAAAAATCAATCAGCGTTGGACCCACAAGATAGTGCCACTTAGGCCGAAAAGGAAAAAGATTATTAATAAAATAAGTTCAAGGGGGTAATAAGACCTTAGTATAGTATAAATGTGTCTCTGAGATTTCGGGCATAGATTAAGAGATACTTCTACATTATCCCTAAAATAAACTCACATTTTATTTTAAGATAGTATTATACCTTATATTTTACGCCAAACCAAACGACTTTTTAACATGCTAATTACAAGCATAAATACCCATCCCCATCCATTCTCTCTGCTGCTCTTGAGCTTTTTTGGCATTTCATTTTGTAAGAAAAAAGAGTGGAGGGGCTAAAAAAGTATAGCGATACACAAAAATTATATTAGAAAAAAGATCAAAAAAATTGACAAGAGCAATAAGAAAATCAAATTAAAAAAAAAAAAAAGATGGGTAGAGCTCCTTGTTGTGAGAAAATGGGATTGAAGAAAGGTCCATGGACTCCTCAAGAAGACAATATTCTCATATCTTACATTCAAAATAATGGACATTCCAATTGGCGTGCCCTTCCTAAACTTGCTGGTAATTTTGCTCTACAAATCTATATTTTTTTCATATCACTTCTCGAATTTTAATCTGAGATCTCTGATTAAACACGAGAGATTATATCTAATATCATCTGAACTTGTTTTAGAGTAGAAATCATGATTTGATCAATTGAACTACAAAATCGTCGTAAAGACAATTTTAAGTTAGCATTTGATTATAAATTTTAAAATTATTCATGAATATTTGTTTCATCTTCAAATATTTTTAAGTTCCCAAAAACTGATTCGAACTAGTTTTGGTTTTTTCGAGAATTTTCACTTAACAAAATTATATTTTTTTCCCAAATAAATTACTTAAATTTTTAACTTTCTACGTTAAAATTTATGATCAGATTTAATCGATTTCTAAAGCATTAATTCTTATCTCTTGGATTGAACTTTTCTTGAGATGTTAATTTTTAACACGTGAAACATGTCATCTTTTATTTGGTTATTTCCTTTTTTTCTTTTTTCTTTTACTTGTGAAAGGACATTTTTTATTTATTGAAAAATAAAATTACTGGGGATTATTATAAAGTGTAATTAATTTTTTTTTTATTCTTTTTTTTTGATTATTTAGGACTATTGAGATGCGGAAAGAGTTGCAGATTGCGATGGACTAATTATTTGCGTCCAGATATAAAGAGAGGAAATTTCACCAAAGAAGAAGAAGACACTATAATCAAGCTTCATGAAAATCTTGGCAATAGGTCAGTATTTTTTTCTTAAAAAATAAAATTTAATTGCAACTAAAAAATAAAAATAAGAATTAGTTAAGAATTTAATCACTAGTCAATTTCTAATAGGCTTGTGGCTGCCAATTTTGTTTAATAATTCACGGTAAATTATAAATTTCGTGATACTGATACTATCTTTAAATTATAGTAATATAAACTTTCACTAGATATGTTATTATTATTGTTAATTAATTACGGAGTGTTGATCACATCTAATAATGCGTGCCTAGAGTCGTGATAAAAATTAGTATATTAAAATAAAAACACATTTTCCTTTTATTATTATATTTGAAAGGAAATATATACCTTAGCTTGTGAATTATTTATTTGCAAAATTTTTTGTCTTTATATTCAGGAAATATAATACTTTTTGAGAATTGAAAAGGAAAGATTTATATTAAGCCAAAATAACACTTATTTTATTTTATTTGTCATTTTGTTTCTACCAATGAATAAATTAAATAAATATTATAAATAGAGAGGGGGAAAAGATTCTCTTAGACAAATTGGTAATTAAAATATCTCTAATAATTAATGTCATTTGCCAATCTACACATCTGAATGAAGAAAATCTATGCATATGGCTAATATCTCCTTTGATTTTAGTGACACTATAATTAAAGTTTTTGCACTATGTCATGTTTGTCCACTTCTCTCAATCTACAAATAATTTAACTTAATTACAATTGATAATTTTATTTTAAAATGTTACAATACCAATGTATTTTAATAAGAGAAAATCGATAATATATAAATGGCTATTGGTTTAAGTGCACCTAGGTAATAGCTTTTGCTTAGAACTATTGTATATGTATTTTTTTTAAAAAAAGCACTAAATATAATTTATAAATATAGCTGAGTTAGTGCAACACATGACTAATATCCTAAGGATATAGATTGATTCCTTGTCAATATTTTCTAGTAGAATTAATTGCATCGTTACTTGACTTACCTAATGCAATTAATCTCTGGCATAGTTTATAAGCTACTAGATAGAAGGAGAAAATAATTATATATTTAAAGGATATCGACTATAGATTTTTTAGAGGTTTCAAAAGAAATTACTTAATATAGATGTATAAATATTTGATTGAAAAAAAAATCTTAGTTATTATGTGGATTAACTTGGATCACTATAGGATTCCAAAAATTTCAATTTCAAAATTCGTTTTTGACTTTATGTTAAAACTTGTATTGTTACAGAAGTTCATAAATTTTAAATTTTTGAACCAGTCTTTAATTTTAATGTGTTGTTATAGATAATGTACCTCTTTTGTTTCAACGTTATATGTTGACCTCTTTCTGATAAAATTTTTCCCCGAAATAAGCAGATGGTCCGCAATAGCAGCAAGATTACCAGGACGAACAGATAATGAAATAAAAAACATTTGGCACACCAACTTGAAGAAAAAACTCAAGAATTATCAGCCTTGTCAAAATTCCAAAAGACACTCCAAGACTAGTCATGTTTCCAACAAGGGTCCTACAACTTCTGAATCCTCCAATAACTCTGATCTTAGTACAAGTACTAAACAACACATTAAGATTGCACCTAACTCACCACAACTTTCATCTAGTGAAATGTCAAGTGTGACGTTAGTTGTTGATGATAATCAGATGGTGATTATAAAGGAAGAAAAAATCGAGTCATCATCGTCGGAGTATTTTCCAAAGATCGATGAGAGTTTCTGGGCAGATGAATTATCGACGGAGAATAATATGATTATTGGTCATGATCAAGAAATACAAGTGAGGGAAGAAAATGTAGACATATTTACTACTAGTTCAAAAATGGAGGAGGACATGGACTTTTGGTACAATGTTTTCATAAAGACAGGGGATTTGCCAGAATTACCAGAATTTTGAGGGGTCTATTTTGATTATTATGTAAATTTTGAGATTAATTAGTGGTATTTCTAGCTAATAGTTTTTTCTTTTTTCTTTTAGGAATTTTTGGAGTTGGCAAGTTTGAAATTTCATGTTTGTTTAATCTTGACTATTATTTAGAGTGGACCCCAAAAAAATAAAAAAATAATTCCAAGTTGGGACCATTAGCTAGGATATTTTAATTTTGAGGTTATTTTAAACTTCTCTTTTACTTAGTGGAGGGCTAATTACAGTAATTAGCAAAGGAAGATCACATTTTAGAGAAGTACTCTTCCGTTGTCACAGTCACTTTTCGTTTTTCTAGAGTCAAACAGTTTAAATTTGCATCGATATTTACAAATGAAATCTTCAAATCTTTTGAAATGAAATTTATATTTTTATAAACTACATTTAAGATATTATAAGACATAATAACTGATAATTTAAAATATTTAAAAGATGAATAAAAAATTTATAACCACAAATAAAATTATTTAAATCTCAAAATTTAAAAAATATTGCATAAATTTAAACGGAGAGAGTACTTGTTTAAAAACTATTAGTACTAAAAATAAAGTTTTTTTATCACCGCAAATGGGTGAAAAATTTATGCTATAAACTACTAATATAATTCTTTCACTTATTTCTTGTCAAACCAAACTCATTGACAAAAGATTAAATAAATTTTCATTGAGATCATGAAAATTTACTATTTTTTTCATATAAAAATATTATTATTATTTTCTATTCACATCGATTCAAGTAATATCTGTAAAATTATCATTGAGCATTTTCAATTATAAAATTCTGTAGAAAAGATGGTGATTTTTTGATAGTAACTCGTAACCATTTCTCCTAACTTAGCTTTAACTTTTTGTATAAAAGGTGTGTTACATATGGCTTTACATATATATATATAATAAGAAAAGGATGAAATGTTTTTCACCAGTTAGTGGTTTAAAGATTTTGTAATCCATTAGGATAACAAGGACAATAAAATACTTTTTTTTAATGATTTGTCACTTTAAACAAATTAAAGAAGGATGTTGCAACATTTCCATCCCCTAAACCCTTTTTCTTTTTTTCTTTTTAAATATTTTTTTTTAGAAAAATAAGTTTCTTATAAATAACAATTTGTAATAAAAGAAAAAATAAGTTTTATTAAAAACGTTCTACGCAATAAATATCATTTCTTTAATGATTTGTCACTCTAAACAGATCAAAAAGAAGGATGTTTGGAGCATTTCCCCCCTCCAAACCTTTTTCCTTTCTTCTTAACTTTCTAGAAAAATAAGTTTTTTTTTTTATAAATAATGAGAATGACTTTTTTAATAAAAAAAGTTCTACTAACGATATTTTATGTTGATTATGTTCTTTTTACCCCTTTATGTATAGTATATATGATAACTAACACGGAAAATTGTATATAATAACAAATTAATAATCTAAAATAAATAGAGTAGCTAGGGTTTGATTTAATTGTGCTCCATAGCAAACGTTAGCTAAAGTTTGTCAGGCGTCTCTTTCCCAAAAATCTCGCTCGCTACTCTCAATTCTCGCTCGCCTCTCTCGCTTTATGCACAAAAGTGTATAAATTCTGTTTCTGTTTTGTATAAAGCGAGAGAAAATTGTATATACACATGCAAAAATATATATCTTCGTGTTATACACTTAATTATACAATTTACAAACATTTTACTTCAAATATTGCAGAGAAAAAAGCCAACAAATTATACAATTGTGAATTATACAATTACAGTGAAATATAATTTTCTCTAACTTTATACAACAGAATTGGATATATTGTGTTTCTGTTTTTGTATAAAGCGACAGAAAAACATATATCTTCTTGCTATACACTTATAATTATGCAATATACATACATTTTAATTCGATTCAACTGTATGGAAAGCAAATTTTATAAAAATATTGCAGTGAAATAGACAGCGAATTATACAATTGTGCATTATACAAACGCAGTGAAATAGGATAGAGAATTATACAATTGCAGCGTAATAGGCCAGCGAATTATACAATTGTATATGTATAGCGAATTATACAGTTTTATGTTTGCTATGGAGCGCAATTATGCAAACTTTGTTATAACATACAAATATGAATTTTTTGTTTGCTATATGTGAAAGTTGCCCTAACTAATATTATATACTCCCTCTGTTTAAACATCTTCGTATAATATATATGATAATTAATATTATATACTTTTTTCGTTTAAAAAAGAATGATTTCTTTTCCTTTTTAGTCTATTTAAAAAATAATGATCTATTTCGTTTTTGGCAATACTTTACCTTTAACTTTCCACGTGGCATGTTTAAGACCACAAGATTAAATGACATTTTTGTACATTTAACATAACTTTAATTTAGAACCACAGGATTAAAAATCTTCTTTCTTTTCTTAAATTCCATTCCAAATCAAATTAGGTCATTATTTTTTAAACGGAGGGAATCTAATTTTAAAATCATTCTCAGACTCATGGAGTATAGATTATTTGTCAGTTCTAAAGATAAGCTAATTACGACGGGTTAACACTGAATGCTTAAAATTTTCACGAAAATAAAAGAATCTAGAAGTATATTTGAAACATTATAATACCATTAGATACTAAAATGATTCCACTTCTAATTAGCTATACATATGTATGAGATATTTTAGCACTCAACTATGGATCAACGAGGATTATTAATCCAAAAAATGCAGAGCAGTTGTAAAATGATGAAAATATAATTTAAAAAATGTACGCCTTTTAAAAGATTAAATTAACAAATGAATCTCATCGATATTCATTATTAAAAAGGATTTCTATCTATTTACTTAAAAAAAAGTCAAAGTCATATAAAATAAATGCTTTTAAAAATATGATTAATAAATAATAATATAATATTTCTAACAATTTAAACTTTTAAATGAAACATATCGTACAAGTTCCCAATCATTTTACTTAAAAAGGGACCGACAAAATATAAATGAGAATAACATGTACCACACCAAATATGCCCATAGGAAATAGACAAAAATGACAATGAAAAATTGGTTTTTAGTCTTCAAATTCAATGATATCCAAGTGAACTCACTAATATAATAGCCATCACAAAATTGCATAAAAGTTTAACCAAGACAAAATATTCAAAAGTTAGACACAAATTAATTATTAATTTCGTCGTTAAATTACTAACCGTCTTAATTAAAATATTTTTTTACTTAACTAACTGAACTCCGATCTACAATATGACGTATCAAAGTGCTACTACATATTAAGCATTTTAATATCATTCATAGTTAATTTGTCTCCTATTCTATCTAGCTTGTTGCCAATTCTCTCTAGTGAGAATGTTAGCCAAAACGTTAGGAATAATGGCTTATTTGGAGCACTCCGTTGATGGTTTGATGACAATTGATGTCATTGTATTTAGTGATGGTGATCAACCATTCATTTTCTTGGAACTTCTTTTGCCACCAACATGCTATATTCTCACTCTTTCTTTTATAATTATTCTTGTAACCTATGTAATATTCAGACCATTCACTTACGGCCTACTAATTATTTCATTATTTTTCTATTTATTGCAAGGAAGATTTTCTTTCCTATAAATACTAATGATGTTCTTTGTGTTGGAGTAAACAAGAGATGTACAAGAAAATAGAGTGGAAAAGATGAATAATATTGTATTGTGTTTATATTAGAATTAGTGTAATGAAAGAGAGAGTTGTGATGTAGAATTTGAAGTCTTCAAATATATTTGCTATACAAAAGAGTAATTATATGTTGAAGGAAAGTGTTCTTTTTTTTTTTTGGAGTTTTGGACTCTTCAACTAATCCGGTGTTGCTTGAGTTATACGATGTTGCTGGACTGTTGTATCCTGCAGGGGAAAAGTCAAGAGTATTGTTGTTGGATCGGTGCAGATAATGTCGCATTGAACTTGAATCTCCTTAAAGAGAGCGAGATGTCAGTGTCTTAACCTAAAAATTTGTTTATTCAATTTGATTATTTTATTTTTAACTGTAATTTATTTTATTTGTGATATATTACACCAACAACAAGTGATTTGAAACTCTCGTAAGAACATGAAATTCTTAATAAAAAGTCGAGAGAAATATTAAAAACATTCTTAAACTTGATAAGAATTTAGAGATGTATTTCACTCGAAGGTGTATTTAAATTCAGTTAATCAAATAAAGAGATATTTTTAAGACTAACTGTCAACAGTTCTCAAAAAAAATTAATACTTCGCGCCGATTTTAAATATATGTTCAATATTCTCTCTCATTTAACTCACAATTACATGCGATGATAAAATGGCAGCCACACCTTTCATTATTTATTCCCAAGAAAAATCAACTGTGGTCATTTTACTTTTTTATAAGAATGATATCAACTCATGTCAAGGTTTAAATGTTCAAAAATGAATATAACGTGTTAACTGCTTTATCACGATAATTTTAAGCAGATTGGCAGTCATTATCAACTTATTAGCTCAAAAGATATGATATAAATCAAAATCATAATTCAATATGCTCTCAATAAGTCACAAAATTACTTCAAGCTTGTTCCAATGAGGTCGAGAATTCGCATAAAAACATCTGATCTATTGGTTAATAAAGTGGTTGAAAATCATGTCGCCTCAAATGAAAAGTGATTGATATCTTGTGAAACTAGTTGAGGTACGCAAAAACTTGACACCTATACAATATGTTTGACAAGACATGTTACTACATGCATGAAACATAACAATCCATTTTTTGTCGTGATGATAAATAAGAAAATAATAATCTAGCTAGGTTGGTTGTTAGTCCACAATCCACTTATAAGTCCATATATGTAATGAGTATATTCATGGAATCAACCAGTCAAAAACAAAGCAACGTGCCACAAAATTTTGTGACAAAAATATATTGAATTATCCTAATGACGTACTGACAAATTATATTATTTATCAATAATTGATCATTTCATTAAATTCTTGAACACGCGTGCGAAAAAAAAAGAATCAAAACATAAATATTCCAAAAATCAGTGATGAAGTTATTCTCTTTTCTTTGTCTCAATTCATATGATAATTGATAGAATTTTGATATTCGAATAAAAAAATTAATTATAATTTTTTCATAGTCTCCATATATGTAAATCTTATTTCTAAAAATTTAAAGATTTCATATCCAATTTCACATTTAAATTCAATAGATTAGACTCTTAAAATTTAAATGGTGCCATATACATTAAAAAAGAGAAAATATACTATATTTTCTCTTTTTAAAATCATTCTTTACTTGTACGTAGGGAATCGATAATTAGTAGGCGTCTGGCCATGCGGTATCATATCACGATATGGTATTGTGAGATAGAATCAGCATTTGAACATGTCATTTCATGCTGATTCCGTCTTATATGATTCCATATCATGAGATGTGATACCATACTCTCCAAAAAGCATGATATGGAGTTACATGGTGATTCCATATCATAATTTGAGATACTTTAATACAAAAATTGATCTACAAGTTTATATTTGTTAAAACAACTCCATCATTCATATCTACTAACTGTTTATTTTATATGTAAATAAAATTTATAATCACATTATTACTTTTTAAAATTTATTATTCTCATCGACGTAAAATTTATTATTCTCACCGACATATAGTCACTTCAACTCACACCAACCGATTGTTAATGTGATGAAATATTTATGGTCTATAAATATGAAAATGTAGTTGTTGATGATATTTACCAACAAATGGATCAAAGTAACAATGTTGGTTCGTCTTCTCAGTCACATGATCGAGAAATACAAGTTCAACTTGAGGAAATTGTTTGTACTATATGGGAGGAGGAGTATATTAAAAACTACTACACTACAATTTATGTTCAAATTTTATTAAGTTAAAGCTAGATAAAACAATTATTTAAGTGGAGAATAAATACCTTTATAATAATTTATTATGCGATTTTATAATATTTTATTTGATAAGAATAAATAACTGGGGCTATTTTAAGAATTTTACAGCTTATAAAATTTTTATGTTTATGAGAAAATATACAATATAAAAATTTCATATCACATGTTCAAACAAAACTTTAATTTCATCTTATAATTCCATATTATAATTCTATATCGTGGGGGAGGACTCTTATATTGTCTTGATGAACTCTTGATACTCGATAGTCATTTATAAATATTAAGTTTCAAGGACAATTAATCTCTTAATTATATTAATCATTGCTCGGGATCGTTTGATTCATACGATAAAATAAAAATAAATAATTTTGAAATTAAAAGTGAGATTATATATTTTTTTAATGTTCGTTTTTTCTGGATAACTATCAGATTTTGTTACCAAAAGTATAACATTAAGACTCAATAATATGTAACAACTCTTGGACAGAGCCACTCTTCTCCTACTAATAACCAACATACTATTAATTCAAAGACTTCATTTATAAGCTCCAAGCATATCCTCACATTGACGTGTGTGTAGCATTTTCGATTTTTTAAAAATGTTATCGTATTCGCGTTGAATCTTTTAAAAATATATTATTTTTAAAAGATTCAATACATATTTATAAATATTTTTAAAGAGTTCGAGCAATATAAATTTTATATGAAAAATGTGCATAAGTACTTTTTTTTAGGTTTCTCACTCGATGTTAAATATATATAATTGAAGCCCGATTAATTTTATAATTAATACTCGCCAAGATTATTAATTATTCAACGATCAAAAATAATATAATATAATAAAATACGATAAATATATTATGAAATAATACCTAATAATCATTTGGACCAAACAAAGTGTAACTTCATCTATTTCCTCTCAGTCACACCCATAACGACGGTCTACGTAAGGTTGAGCCTTATAGAGATGTTCTTGAAGAGCCACATAATAATGTTTATAAATATTTTGAAATGCTTAGCAAAAATAATTTTTTAAATATTTTTAGTTTATGATTATGATTTTCAAATTTTTTATACTTTATGAAATTGATTGAGACTGATATTCATGTTTATCATCACAAATTTAATCATTAACGAGTGAATTAAAGTGAAAATATAATCTTCATTTTTGGAGTTTTTAAAAGTTGATTTATTGAATTCTTTTTACAATTGGGTTTGTTTGGAATGTCATTTTTTAATTTGTAGCTAAAATTTGAAGTTATTTGAGGAAGATTTTAGTTTATTGTTGATATTGTTTTCGTTAGTTGGAGTTTGTAGGGATGAAATTCAGTTTAATAGAATAATAATATTATAAGTAACTATACATTGTACAAGATTGATATATTATTTCATAGGAGAAACTATATAATTACGCAAATATATATACATGTGAAACACAAAAAGCTTGGTACGTGTTCTGAGGAAGCCTTCATGCGAGGTGAACGGTACCTATGAAGTGGAATCTATTTGGCTTTGCTTCCAACTCATAATGGAAGGCCACCCCTACAAGGTCTCTAAATAAAATGAAGCTAAGACGATAACTTATCGTCTGCATCTACAACTACTTCTGGTTTATATACATTGCTAAAAGGTTGGATTTCAAACGATTAGGTTAGGGCAGGGTGGAGTTTCTCTTTAGCACTGTGCTTTTAGGTGTAGTTCCATCAAGGCGCCCAGATCAAACTCCAGCTGGTAGGGGCCGAAGACTGATAGGTGTAGTAATTTAGATTCCATGGAGTGCTTGCTGCTCCTGCTCTTATAGTTTTATAATGCACTTAAAACATACCCTATCCCAGGGGCATGAGTACACTGCTTGCACACTCGAACTCTCCTACGATACACATTATATACATGTACGTAGTGTGATTCGTACGTATTTGAGCGAGATTTGTCTGTGTATCTCAGATGCATGTAAATCAAAATAGATACACAATATATACATGTATCAAATATGATTCCCGCGTATCTAGGATACCGAATATGTGAGAGATACATGAGAGTGGTGAGAAAGATAAAGGGAGGCGAGCAAGATTTGTCTATATCCAAGATACATGTGAATTCATTTGGATACATTATATCTGAAACATACTACACCTAATTTTGACCTCATGTATCTCGAAATGTATGTATCTAGATGCATCTGGACACACTAAAATATGATAAGATTCATAATATACCAAACTATTGTGGACCTAAGTTTATTAGCTCTTAAACCAGTGGAATTTGCTAGTTCCCTTATTTATAAGAAGAATTTTGATAGTTTTGTTAGTTGACTAGTCGAGTTTCACCTTAGTTTAATTTTCACTAAACTAAGGTCCTATTATCCCCTGAACTTATTTTTTTTCCCCGATTTTATACACCTTTCGTGTTACTTGACACACTCCGTGACTACACGCAATTGAGACGCGTGGGAGATTTTTGGATGCCACGTAGCTAAAAAGGTGTACAAAATTATCTAAAAAATAAATTCAGGGGTAATAAAACCTTAGTTTAGTTAAGGTATGTCTCAGAGATTCGGTTATAGTCTAGGGGTACTTGTGCATTTTCTCAATATATGTTTAAACAAAAGTAGTAAACTATTCGTGTTAATGGATTATCGGTTAACCCAACAACACAACATTAGAAACCAATATTGAATAGATAACTCGATTAATTTCTTATATAACCATTAAAAACCCGTTAATCCAATAACAATAAATCAATATCATTTTTTTTTCATTTAATTTATTGATCGATTCAATATTTGCACCCAAAAAAAGCAATACATTATATTGGTAGGTAACTGGGTATATTTTAAAAATTTATGTAGTAATATTTATTTTGAGTAATTTACTATAATGACCTCGGAAATGAATGGTATTATCTACACTTTGTACTTGGAACTTGCTCTTTCACAAAATCGACATCCCACATTTTTTTCGAGGCAGAGTTTCAAAATTCTGATAAAGCTAACAAGAGGAAGAAGAATCCATGGCTTCCTGCAACACTTTCACTCCCGGCGGCATTCCGTCTTGCCGAAATTTCACTCGAACATTCCGGTCATCGTCTCCGACATGGAGGAAGAGCGGAGTTGTTACTGCAAAACTTGCTCAGAAGAACGCAATGCAGTACAGAAAACTCGGAGACTCTGATCTTAATATCAGCGAAATTACTATCGGAACTGTAAGTTTATTCGCTAGATTCAGTAGCTTTTGCTCACATATATACAATTATTAAATTTAGAACCCAGTTAGTAGTCATTCGTTCTGTTCATTTTGGGTATTTATGAAGTAATTGAAGATTTAGTAATGTGAACTCCTTCATAAATGCAGATGACATTTGGAGAACAGAATACAGAAAAGGAAGCTCATGAAATACTTAGTTATGCATTTGATCAAGGAATTAATATTATTGATACCGCTGAGGCTGTAAGCTACTCCACACTAACTTGGGAAGAAATTGCCTTCATTTATTTTACTGTTACTGTTCTTGATAATAGAAGCTTAGTTAACTGGATTGTTGGGATGTAATTAGAAGTTTAGTTTATTGCCTAAAATTGCTGATTCATTTTACTATCTTGATACTACAAGCATTTTTGTATTTATTTTTTCATTGCTATTGTATTCCAAGTATCCTGTTCCAATGAGAAAGGAGACTCAAGGAGCGACCGATCTCTATATCAGTAGCTGGATGAAGTCCCAACCCCGTGATAAGGTAATTCTACCTTTGTGGATTTATATGAAAGGTTGTGCATGTATAATCAGTTTCTTGCTTTATTTTTCTATGGAACGTAATAGGTACTATTCCTACTACTTCTAACTACAAAGGCAATATAAGATTGCCATCGAATCAGCTCTTTCATATTTTCCTTGTATTCTTGTCATCCTACTGTTTCAAATCTATTGCATTGAACTGTAACTACTGTTGATCTTTTTAAATGAATTCCTCGAGAAAATGATATACTTACTAAAGAATAGTTGGATAAACTGTGTAGATGGCTACTTCTTGTGATTATTTTGAGATTGTAAAACAGTGAGATTAGAGAAAGCTGAGCTGCTAAAATAACTAAAGCTAGGTAATACGTTTTGCGTAACCTTCTTCAAAGAAATATGTCCATTTTGTGCTATAATTGATTTAAACTTCCTAGAGTACTCTTACCAACTGAAAGAACTGTTGATGTACTTCCTTGATCTAGCCAACATTGCATGCATCTTATTGTATTTCGTGTTCTCCATTGTTCTATAGGGTTTGATGGCTTTCTGCTGAGTGTCTAAGTTGTTCAGTTTGGGGTGCGGGTATCCCATATGAGTGCAAATCTAAAGGTCGGATTCTTCATCACCTGACTTTTAGGATTAAGGGGTGTGGATCCAAGTGCGGTTAGGGGTGATGGGATAATGACAATAAAAGTGTACTACGACAGATAAAGTATCTATCTCGATTGATTAAAGTTATTGAACTAAAACTAATAGAATTTAATTCTTTATAAACATCTAATATATCTCATCTTAAAGAAAAACATATCATTCTTTATACATACATACATACATATATATATATATATGTATATATGTACATATATATATATATGTATGTGTGTATATATATATATATACATACATATATATATATATATGTACATACACATATATATGTATGTGTATATACATATATATGTATATGTATGTGTGTGTGTATATATATATATATGACATGCACGTCAAACCGAATACCCAATCAATCTATACTTCTCGATCATAGATGTGGTCAAAGAACCCAAGGTAAGTAGACTAAATCCAGTGTGGATCCCACACCCATGTCGTGTCGACACGAGTGTGGCAAGGATTTTGAAGAGTCTGAGTAACATAGGTGAGTGAGGGTTCACTGAGTCATCATCTCCAACTCCCAACTTAGAGCACATGCAGGGTTAGAGAATTTTAAAAAACCAGTGGAAGAGAATCGCTTTAAGTAGATTTTGGAGAAACCCTTGATCATGTTTGGACTAATTTGAGCTTTTACTGGAAAAAGCAGTCATTTCTGTAGGGATGATGAAAACCCTTTTTTTATTGTTCCTCGATATGGTCCATTTAACAAAGGATCAAAATGGGTCACACCAGTAGGATGAACCAAATGAGTTCTGCATTATGAACTTTGTACTGTGCACATTAGTACATTACTTAGACAGGTTCTAGAAAGGCACATAGGAAGGAATGGAGAAACTAGAATAAAGAAATCAGGTATACAACTTTTTTTTTTTAAGAATGGTAAAGATTTAATAACCATGGGCATATAACTTTTGAGAATATAAAGCTTGTGTAGTTCTGTTTTTGTTGATCGCTGCTAATTTATGCGCATATATTCTCCAAATATAATTTTTTTTGATCTTTTATGAGGAAGAACAAGAATTATGTTAACTAGACAAATTATTATGCAAGCAGGAAAGAAGAACAAATTAGAGATCAGCTTTATTAGTGAATAGAGCCTAATCTCAAGCATGAGTGAGTTAACTTAGAACAGCTTAGATTGTTAAGAACTTGAGGGTACAAATAATTTGTGTTGGATCGTATTAAGATTATTAGCATGGCCATGATGCCAAATGTTACAATTGTTTGTAAATTAACTACCAAAACCATTCTTTAAGTAGGTAAACCTCTCTTTTTTCGCATTGCCATTATAGCCATAATGTTTGGTGTCTTTTAACTCAAGATTAAATTTTTACTCCTGTAGATGTGTACTGATATCTACTAATGTGATGTTGTTTTGTCCTTCAGGTGATTTTGGCTACAAAAGTTTGTGGTTATTCAGAAAGATCAAGTTACATACGTGAAAATGCAAAGGTTTTGCGAGTAGATGCTGCTAATATTCGAGAAAGCGTAGAAAAAAGTTTGAAACGTCTCAATACTGATTACATTGATTTACTCCAAATACATTGGTGAGTATTTTTTGATGATATCATTGAAGGATTCTAAAAGTGCAATTTGATAAGTAGTATACATCATATTATTCAACTTCCCCAGTTTCTAGATGACACCATTTTCATCAAGTGGGGCTGTTTCACGTTATCCGGGTAGTTAAAAAACTATAACTTGAACTTTTAGTGACCAGATGAGATTTCTCATTCTTACCGGATTCTAGATGACTAGATATTACCTATGCTTTGAGCTTAGGTATCACAGCAACGAATTATCTTTTATTCTGGCTCTTCAATTATTTTCTTTTTTTCTTTTAGTTATCCCATTTGGGTTTGACAGCTAAGATGCTAGAGAGATTCTCGGTTTAGGAAGCTGTTGATGTGAGCCTCTACTGTAACTGCAGCATATGTTGGAGTAGAAGAGGCGATTGAAATGTGTAGGTGCGAAGCAACAATAAAGCAAGAGTTTGTAGGGCAGTAATCAGAGAATATGAGACTCTGAGAGCAGGCTGAATGAACTGTTATTGTTGTATACATGCGGAAGGATCCTAGGAGAAAATGAAGTACTTATAATGGAAGTTCACTTGAGGAGCATTTGGGTGGATTGTTTTGGAATTCAGGGCAACATTGACATAGAAAATCTATGGCTAAGTGAATGTAAGACGACAAGATGAGCTAGTTGCATTAGGGAATCTAGGGATAAGTGAATGTAAGAGGGTAAGATGAGCTAGTTCGAATAATAAGAAAAATGAAGAAACTACTTCCATGGCCAAGTGAAAGTCTTAGGTGGCTTGCAAGTTATCACTGTCATGGCTTGGTATTTTGCTTTTTCTGGATCTTACAATGTTTTGTTTCTTGCTCTTCAAAGATACTTACTTACCTCCAACTGGAACAGAACTTAATATGTGGTAAGTAGAGCATTTATTAAAAGGTGACCTATTTACTAGTAATCTGCATGCCCAACAATCTGTTCATGTCCTCATTCCTTTTTTTAAATTTTGGCCAACTTTATCTACCAAAGATTGTAGACCAATACATCACAATGAGTATCAAGCGGAGAGCCAAACGTTGACTTGTAACCCTCACTGAAAAGGCAATATCATATTCATGTTGAGTTATTATGAGATAGTTCACCTTACCTGGCTATTAGTGCCAACCTTTGTGCTAAAGATAATTTTACATTGTTACCTCCCTCAAAAGAAAAGAAAAATTCAACTTACCTAGAAACCTCCTATGTCTCCTGGGATCACTGTACAAGCTTAAATTATGGACCCATAGGGCTGTCACAAGTGTACTATCTTCCGTACCTGTCTTCCTTTTAAGTGTGGATAAGTATACTTCCACATAGAGATGACAATGTCTGATGTAAACTAGATGAACTCATCATCCTAGAAAAATATTGCAATCTACCTAGATCCTTGGTCTGAAAGGACTTAACGAGATGAAGTTTACTTTGCTAATCCCCTATTGATCACTTTCTGAGATAATTATGTCATTAGTATAAACTACCAAGTATCTTTCACTATAAGTCATTTCAAACTTCTTAATACCCATTGAACTTGTCAGACTATACTCGAGTAGATTGTTTCAAACCATACCAGCACCCTGCATGCAAGATCACTGGACTCCTGAGAGCTAAGTAACCTAGTTTTTCCCCATATATACTTCATCCTCATTGCGTATTGTATGTAGATTTACTTGGAGGTAGGGGAGAAGTTTCCAAGGGCCACTAAGAGTGTACAGTATACAACTTGTTGGCATCCTAAATGAGAGAGAGTTTCACTAGTACTCTTGAGGTAGAAACAAAAGAAAAGGATGAAAGCAAGTTGGCGGTAACTTAAAAAGTATAAAATTGAGGTAATTTTGAGTATAGCGAAGACCTCTCCAAGCAGCTCCTGGAAGACTATATGTAGCATTGACAAGTCTGTAACAGAGGGAAGAGCATCTGTTATTTGACACAAAAGATACTAAGTTGATTTTGTATTAATACAAAGATCCAAAAAATGGAAATCAACTTAGATTAAGAAGATCAACTACACATTGAATAATCATCTTTGACAACCTAATAATAGGAACTCAAAGTAGAACTAGTTCGATCAGAATTCCTAAAATCTGAGTGGACTAATGAGAAGAGAGGATTTACCCCATTATCAAGATGACATCCTAAGAAAAAAGGGTATCGCACCCAAGGGTGTGGACTATGGCCTAGTGGTCAATGAAATGGTTGAGAACCTTGAGGTCTCAGGTTCAAATCAGTGGAAACACAGAAACACTAGGTGATTCTTCCCATTTATCCTAACCTTGGTAGACAGAGTTACCTGGTGCCTGTTGCCCGTGGGAGATGAAAGGTATCCCATCGAATTAGTCGAGGTGTGCAAAAGCTGCCTGGACACCTCGGTCATCAAACAAAGAAAAGAAAAAAGAAGAGGTGGTATCCAAACAAAATTGACACGAGTTATATTCTGAGATACAGAAGTGAGAACATGCAGACACTATTTTCTGAAGTTAAGAAAAACTAAGATGTCAACCTCCTTGGACTATCTTAGGAGAATTGTCAATAGAACATGTTATAGGTATCTCTGAAGACCGAGGTAGTGAAATCGATATGAGATAATTGAAGGACTATCAAATATTAAGGGAAGGGCTGCACTACCTGATAGGATAGTGATGAAGAATAAACCAGGAGCTGTAATTGAGCTTCATACAAATTGAGAACAGTCCTCCAAATACCGCATTGTCCTAAAGTCTAATCACTCCACCAAAAAAAAACACCAACACCTGGAACAGCCTGGAGGACTGCAGGTTTTATGTGAGACTCGAAGTGTCCGAAAAAGAGACTGAAAGTTGCTGGAGGAAAAGAAAATCTGAAAGTTGCTTGATAAGTTGAAGGATCAAATTTCCAATCACCTATAAAATCTGGAACTGGACTGAATGGCACATGCCCAGTCGAGCATCGAGCAAGCGAGAAATCTCCAAATATTGTTGAAAATAAAGAAACTTTCCATAAAAATGATTAAATTGCCGAAACCCAAGCATCTGGTCTTCTTAGACTACTAGATTGGATGAATCACTTTGAATGGTCCGGTTGGCTTCCAAAGTACCTAGATCTAGTTGTAAGCTCACCATGTAAGGCCTCATGCACTAGCACATGAGACAAAATTTGTTGGCAAATTCTGGCTTCTGATGGTGCATCGGGCTTCAGATTAAAAAGTGGCTTCCAGGGTTGTGCTCACACGAGGATTTCAGCCTTGTCTTGGTGTTGGTTTATGCACAATACGCACAGACCAACCTCACATTTAGCAGATTCTATGATTGTTGAAATTTTGCATAGAGAGTGTTTTTTCTCCCGGGTGACACCTATGAATACACGGTGAGGTAGTAGGACTAATTTCTCGCTTAAAGTCCATTAACATGTTAGAAATAAACATCACAATGAAACGAGATTGCGAGAATGCGTGAAAACTAATGGCTTACCCCTTAACCATTCTGTAGGCTCTTTACAATGTACATAACTATATTTACCCGATATGTGATATATCACATCAAATTTTTATGCTACACTTAACTATCTGACAGAGAGTTACCTCAGAACAATACAGTGCTATTTTCGACTATTTGTGATGTGTGCTAAAGTGATGTACATAATTGACTAGTTTAAAATCATTATTTTCTGGATGTAGTTCTTGTCAAGACAATAAAAAGGTCCTCGGTAGAGAGGTTTTACGAGCTAACATGCATATTTAAAGGCGGTTGACAAATTTTGTTTCATCATTTTTTATCTATGATGCATCTTAACATTATTGTTTAAAATGACTGATTAACCTAGAAGGTCTTCTGATGTACCACAGAAAACAAATAGGTTCCTAGCAAAAATAAATTGTTATAGAAAGCATGCTTGAATTCAGTCTGGTGCTGATTAATAACGTATTCATACTGTGTATTCAGTATTGAAGCCACCAGCATAAATTACTTGTTTAAGTTGATCAATTTTTACAAGTCTTTCTTGACAAACTTATATATCATTCTTGGTTGATAGATCTTACCAGCTAACCTGCATGTTTCAAGACACTTGACAAAAAAAATTGGGTTGTATTTATCTTGCTTGTTGTCTGAAAAATTGTAAAATTGTACGTTCTGACTGAATTTGTTTTATCTCTCTCTTGTTTGCTCGTTGTGTATATCATGTATGTCAATACGGAGACACATAGAGATACATACACACAAACATATGTGAAATATGTAAAGAGATGGTTATCTCATTTCTATAATCTGATGTAAAACTTCTCAGGCCAGACAGATATGTTCCGTTGTTCGGCGAGTTCTTTTATGAAACTTCAAAATGGAGGCCAAGTGTGCCTTTTGTTGAGCAGCTTAGAGCCTTTCAGGAACTCATCGATGAAGGAAAGGTATGTTTTTCTTTTTGTGCAGGCAGTAACAATTGCAATAATATTACTGCAGATCTGCCAGTGAAAGGAATTAAGTAAGATGCTTTATAGTTATAATTTCACTAATTAAAGTCTTAGGATATCTTTCATTTTTCCTGGATTTGTGGTTTCAACTGTAAAGGAAGATTTATGATGCATCTATAGCAGCGGAATGATAATGATAGAAGATTTCAAATAACACTGTTAGCTCAATTGCAAGAACCAATGAAGATTCTTCGATTGAGATGAACTGATGAAGAACAGTTTAAGATCAATTAGAAGAGAAGAGAAGAAGAGAGATTTAGAGAAGAGAACAATGATTTGAGAACAATTAGAAGAGAAGAGAACTTATTGTTTGAGTTGCAGCAACAGTCATTGAGATGTTTGAGTCACAGAAGAAGAAGAAGAGGGAAATGTGTGAGACGCATCAGACAAGTGTGTTATACAGAAGTTACCAAAAAAAAAAACTAACAGCGCTTAAGCGCGCTTTTTGTCGCCTTTGCTTTAAGCGTGCTTCTCACTTTGCCTACTGAAGCGCTCACTTTTTCAGCAACGCCTCGATTCAGAGCATAAAAGTGCAGTGCTTGCGCCCCGCCTTGCTTCACGCTTTAAGGGCGCTTTTTGTCGCTTTTCACAACACTGGGTCGGAGTGGCCCCATAGGGGATAAGGTACGAGATTTGAGGTTGAGATGGTTCGGACATGTGAAGAGGAGATGTGTGGATGCCACGGTAAGGAGGTGCGAGAAGGTTGATCTTAATGGACTTGAGTAGGAGTATAGGTAGGCCTAAGAAGTATTGTGGTGAGGTGATCAGGTAGGACATGGCGCAGCTACAACTTACCGAGGATATGACCCTTGATAGAACGGTGTGGAGGTCGAGGATTAGGATTGAAGGTTAGAAGGAAGTTGGGTGCTTTGCTGTCCCATCCCTAAAGTATTAGAATTAGTCTTGTATATTCGTATTCTTAGATTTCTATTTCTATTTCTATTGGTTGATTCTTTAGCCTTGATAATTGTATTTTCATGTTGTTCTTCCTGCTTCTTGTTGTTGTCATATTTCTTCATCTGTTCTGTGTGAGGGTCTATCAGAAATCACCTGTCTTCCTTTTTAAGGTAGGGGTAAGGTCTGCGAACACACTATCCTCCCCAAACCCCACTTGTGGGATTACACAGGGTATGTTGTTGTTCGAGCATGACAGAGTTTCCATCATTGTAAAAGTCATAATTTTCCCTTGTACGTAAGTGAAAGTGAATAAGCTGTGGTTAAGATTTACCACAACGCACAAACCAAATATGGAACCATATTAAAAGAAATTGGTATGGTAATGGTAGAGCATTTTTAAAATCGAAATTACCAAATCTGAAGTTTCCAAAACTGTACCATGTTATATCATGATCCCTCCTATATTCTTGCAAAGAAACTGAACTGGTAAACGGAAAATGTTAGTGTATAAGCACATCAGGTCTCTTACTCATGGTTTAGTTTTAGTACACATTTGCAATGCTTATAGCGAATATAAGCAAACCTGAACTTTATGCATGGCTTCGTTTGCACATTTTTCATGCTTGTTATGAATAATCACACCTGATCTCTTATCATGGTCTGATATGCACATTTTGCAAAATAATTTGAGATTTCATTTTGCTTTGTAAATCTCAAAAATCGATTTACTTTATGGACAGTTAACTTATCTGAAAGTAACAATTAGGCATTACTAATTAATTCAGGTCCGCTACATTGGTGTTTCCAATGAAACTTCATATGGAGTTATGGAGTTTGTCCATGCTGCAAAAGTTGAAGGATTGCCGAAGATTGTCAGCATTCAGAATAGTTACAGTCTGCTGGTTAGGTGCCACTTTGAGGGTAAGTTCTCCTTTCTAAAGTAGTTTAGCTGTGAAACTCCTCTCGACGAGAAATATAGCTTAAATGTATATTTTGATTTTTGCAGCACTTCTTCAGTTTTTCTGTTCATACTTTGGCGCTCGTACAGGTTGAGTAATAGGTTTTTTGTTTAAGAGTAAAAGGAGGTCTGACATCCATTAGATGAGAAGAACTCCAAGATGCTTAAGGAAGATGCCTAGGTACTCGGTACTCCAACCATAGTCAATTAGTTGAAGTCGGAATGTCAATTTTTTCCAGCATGTTGTCAATTTGAGATCTTGTTATCATTCAGCCTGTTAAGGAAAATTGACCCAGGGCCTAAATAGATCCCATAATCTAGCTCATGAGTCATGAGGTAATCAAGGTAAAGATTATCCAAAATCACATATAGAGACAATTATCCTTACCCTCAACCAATATGGGCTTCAGTATACCCTTCCCGGCATTCTTAGAACTAAATATTTAGAGTATGTATAATATGAAAATCGTTGCCCAACATTTAATAAACCGAGACCAGGGATAGGTAAATGAACCCCGCGTCTAAATCAACAGCAATATCTAGCTCGTGAGGTAAGGATTGTCCAAATGATGATAAAAGACTGTACTGCAAAACCCTCAACTGTTGTGGGACTCTAACACAACATGTCTGTGTGCAATACATCCAGTTGAGGTATCAACATAGATGCTTCATGGGGTCAATTCATTTCTCTAGAGGCTTTGCTTTTAATCTTAAGTAGCATGATTGGAAGAGTGCAAAAAATGAAAATGAAGAACTCCTGTGATGATTAAGTAAAGAATGCAAGGTGCTTAAGCAATAAGCCTAGGACACTCTCTACTCTTTGCCAATCGGTGAACAAGTGTTAAGGTCTTTAACAGCTTGCTTACAAATCGATATTTTAGTATTTTTTATATCTACTTAATTACATCATTAAATCATATTTGCTTAGCTCTTAGACTATTAGAATCTAGGTTTGCCTAGTTCCCTTTACAGCTGTCCTAATACTACCTACTCCTTTATGGGTGGTCATTTTCCCATTCACAAAAATACTGATATCATTCGTGCTACCACTGCAGAATAATCTGCATGAACCTCACAAAAGAATAGAAAACCATTTTCTTAAGTTTCTTTTGAATATTGGTGAACTGATTCTGATCTCCTTTCTAACCACATGTTATCTGTTCCCTAATCTGTCTTGAGCCACTTTTGCACATATGTAAATACCCAAATTGTATAATTGGATCAACGTTGATGAGGTTATTTCTCTAAGGAATGTGATTATCCTCTGGATAAGTCCATTACATCCTTAAAGGCTGCTGTCAATGCTCATCATAGACGCAATCTGCCTAACAGCAGCGCTGCTGCTCTTTAAGGTACAGGCAACTTTGCTTGCCATGATAGCTAATCATAGACGCAATCTGACTATCTCAATTTGTATGAGCTGTTTCTTGCGGATGATCACATTTGACACTATAAACTCCAAAATCACATATGTCATATTTTGACAAGAACTCTTTTTTGTTTCAGATTGGCATGTTATAAATTTTGGGCCTTCCTTATACTTGGATAATGTTGTTAAGAGACCTTATAGTTTATGTGATAAATAACCTAATACTGGTAAAAACAACTGCGAAATAACCTAGTAAACAATCAAATGCAGCAGTACATGTAGGAGTGAATCATTGCTGCTATTTTTGATTGAAAGCTAATAATTGTATTTACATCAAGCACCAACATTTTTAATTTTCCGCTTAGCATAACGAGTTTTTGGTTGTCCTTTGTAGTTGATCTTGTTGAAGTATGCCACCCAAACAACTGTAACATTGGCTTACTATCCTATTCTCCACTGGCTGGGGGAACCTTATCGGGGAAGTATTTGGACAGTAATTCTGAAGCTGCTAGAAAAGGAAGACTTCACCTGTTCCCAGGCTACATGGAAAGATACAATAAATCCCTTGCCAAGGTACGTGTTTTTCAAGTTTTACAAGAAAGAAAATTGATTGTTTGAGTAGTTTTATAAGTAGGCAAAAAAATTGAACTTTCTCAAGTGTAAGTTTGCCAAGGGTGAAATACATAGTTTTGGGTTTGACTGGAGTCTGACAGGCGTAACTTAGGGGACACCATGCCACAATCAGTATCCTCCTCCCCCTACCCCAAACCAAAAGAAAAGCACCCAGTTCGATAAATTAATCCTGTGCCTTTTTGTCCATTGTGGCATGTGTATTACTTTGTAAGTGTGAGATAGTATCCAAAAGATAAGCTTTGGGTACAATTTGTCATGGATTAAATTCAGCTTGCTACTTAAAAACAAGAACTGCATATCTGCACACGAAACCTGATTGTGTAAGTGGTTCATTGCTTTTCAAAAATATATATCTGAGTATCGGTACTCATTCATTGGTTTGACGGTCACTGTATATTAGCTTGAGCTTGTTATCCTGTCTTAAAAAACAAAACCTACACCTCAATAAAAAAAAACCCCCACAAACCTCAAATCATAGCTTCACCTCTCTGGATCACACAGTAGATGAAGGTTGAAGAATAAAACAGAGAATTGTTGTTCGTCTTTAACGATACAATGTGAAAATGCATTTCTACTTTAGTAATCGTGCGTGACTTTAGACATGTACAACGTGAGAAGTTTATACCATGCTGCAAGTTTTACTGATTGTTTGGATGTATTTTTGGGCTGTGTTTAATTTCCAGGAAGCAACAAAAAAGTATGAAGAAGTGGCCAAGAAGCATGGTCTAACGCTAGTTGAGTTAGCCCTAGGATTTGCCCGAGACCGTCCCTTTATGACAAGTTCAATTATAGGTGCAACCTCGGTGGATCAATTAAAAGAAGATATTGATGCTTTTTTGACAACTGAGAGACCTTTGCCACCTCAAGTAATGGATGATATTGAAGACATTTTCAAGAGATACAGAGATCCTGCTTCAAGATAGCCTGCCAATTTCTTCGAATTTACCACAACATGTCTTTTGTTTATGCCTATCTATTGTGTACAGGGTGTAGGGGAGAGCTTTTCATCTTTGTCACATACTTTTCTCCAGAAGCAGCCTGCATTGAGAAGAAATGTAAGTCAATTTGGCCACTGTTATTCTTTTAGTCATAGTCTGTTGAATATCGATATCAATGAATTGATCATATTGGGTATTTTCTTTTATGGTTCATATTCTGGACTGGGTATGTCCTTGTGATATGCGAAGGAATCGAGTCATCAACATAAAAACCGTAACAGCTCAATAGGATACATACCCGTCTTTATTTGTTTCTTAAGAATCATAATATTTTATTCACCTAAATGATCAAAAACAAAAATGAATTTCTTGGTTTCTTGTAAAAGAAATTTTAATACTCAGCTGAGTTGTTAAGTTAGTCACTATTGCAATACCCAACTGCCAAAGTAACAAACTTTTATGTTTTGAGTTTTCAGCACTGGCTTAACAATGCATACACGTTGGTTCTCTGGAATCACTTTTCCAGTGTCCAGGGACTTTGTGACTCTATTGCAATTTTTAGTTTCCACTAATAAAAGTGACTTTAATGACATGTTTATCAGTTTCTTCATAGATAGTATTTTTTTTTATGCATAGTATTCAAACATCTGAACTTAAATTTTAAATTACTGAACTAATCTAACTCAATTTAGCTCTGGAGATTAGTAAAGCTAAACGATACAAAGTAAAACGAGTTCTATTTTGACCAACTCATTGGCATTTGACTCCCACTCCCAAGGTTCAACATTGTACCCAAGTAGGCCGTAAATAACAGACCAACTTCTCGCCCAAGGACTCGACTAGCTGAGAAGAGTGTCCACAAACTGTATCTATGGAGGGAAAGTGTACTCATTAAACCATTTGGCACAAAGCTGAGCAGCCTTGGAGCCACTTCACCAGCTTCAACCATGACTAATTCTATTTATGGTAAAAACCTTAAGTAAAGCTCAATCAATATTCTGAAATTGAAGCAGTTCCTTGTAAAAAAAATAGAACAAGAATGGTTGATCTGACACTGTCAGGTTATGCAAAAATTGTGAAACGCAAATTACACACACTCCACAAGCTTGGGATTGAGAATGTATAGCAAGACTGTTTGGGATTGAGGATTAGTGTAAGTTGAACCTTATAAATGTCAAATCTGTTTCATATTCGCAGAATATAGAAAGGTATAGAAAGCATAAGTGTCACATATGGCATAAAGACAGCCAGAGGTAGTGAAAGACTAATTACAGAAGGGCAAGCACCAAGACCATGGCATAGGGCGGTATAGATGGCCACAAAACTTGCAAGGACAGCCAAACAGTCCACTAAACATGGACAACATCTTCTCCAAACAGAAAAATGGTCATCAGAAAAGCAAGAACATCTCATCAAGGTTGAGTTTCATCACAAAAGCAAGAACGTCATCGAAACTTGAGTTTCCAAAACAGAAGAAATTCAAAGAAACTTGTCAAGACTTCATAATTGATTTCCTTCGACAACAGTCAACTCTTTTTTACCCTAGAATACTGCAAAGGAAGCAAAAAAATTTCTAATTAAAGTAAAACTAAATTACAGGCAGCAATGTTTCAACAGTTACTTAAGTAAAAGATGGAACTCAGCTGTCCCTAACCATTACATTGGAAGATGAATGTCGTGACATGACCGAGCAGTAGCATGAAGAGTCTTCAAGATGAATTAATATCAGTGATATCAGAAGATAACCTATGCATTGCAAAAGAGTTCGAAACAAGTTTAGATACCACAATATTCAGAAATCTCTATTACAAGCCATCACACAAGTACAAGTCTGCACAAATAGAAGTAGTAGGGCAAAGAGAGTATTCAGCAATTTTAGAAAAAAAATATTACAAGAACATAAACATGCTTCTTATAAACTAATCACTAACTGATCAAACTAAAATATATATATATACTACTAAATTGATTCAAATGCTGCAACCAAAAGAAAAGTGTATCGATTACAAATCGTGCATCCAAGTGAATTCACGAGAACCGTAGGTGATGAAAGGAAATAGAAACCCCCAGCTAATTTTCTTTCAATGAAATAATAGGAACCCCCATCTGCTTCAGCGGAGAGGAAAGGAAAAACTGAAAGCCAAGAAACTAGAAAGGGAAAATAAAACCCAAAACAGAAACTAAAGGTATCACCACCTCTAAAATAACAGATAGTAAGTTCCTTTAGGAAGACAGAGAGGAGGGGGGGGATTTGGGGAACTTTTTTTTAATTTTAATAGTAGGGCGTCTTAGATCAATGCAATGAAACTGTACATATCTTGCCAAAAGAGTACAGTTCCCATCCATCACCTAAGCCACCCACAACCAGCTGAATCTTGAGCAGGTTCCCAGGTCACTAAATTAGGGGCTAGAATTGCCACATGAAGTGTGCAGGAATTATCGTAATGAGCTCATGACAGTACTTGTCGTATAGGGGCAAGTTAAGTAGCTCTTATATTTTACAGGAGCTAAGTAAAATGAAATTCTCACTCTTCTGAAAATTCGGCAAGAACATCAAGTGAGACAAAAAAGGTTGTTCCTAAGTCTTCATTCCTCACCATCTTTATTCAATAAATTGGGAATAGTACCATATCATCTTCTCTAATCATTTTCCTCTTTTCAACTAAGTGAGACATTGTGTAACTGTAAAATTTGGATTAGTCTGGAATAATGATCTCAGATATTCATATTTTGGCAAAAGGATACCGAGAAGGTAGAACATAAAACATAGGCAAGTCAAAAAGAATTTTATAGAACTCACACAATAGCATTAAAAATCGATTCGAATTTGAAGCATGTGATTTACAGTTTTGCTTATAAAAGCACAACCTGTGTTGCAGGAAATTGATTTTTTTATAAGTGAGCATGAAATTAATCTATAAAATGCCTAGAAGAGATGTTATAACTTACATGAATGGAATGTGATGGTGAAAATGATTAACCCTGTGAACCAGAGTTTGGACCGCGCCCACCACGACCACTGCGCCCACTGCGACCTCGAAGAACTCGCCCACGGCCTCTTGCTGGTGTAGCGGAAAGCATAGCAGCTTGCCTAATGGAAGCCCTTTCTCTAGCCCTCTCATTTAGGTTTATAGTTCTTGAGCTCCTATTGATAGGTGAAACCTGTTTCCCTTCTTCTGTTTCAGCAGCAGCACTTTCATCCAGACCCCCTTCTTTTGAATTGCTACTATCAACTGGACTGCTTGATGGTTTCTCACCAGTAACAGTATCCAGAGCCTGATCAGTTTCTGCAGCAACCTGGTCACCACCATCATTCAACTTCTCAGAACTTTCAGCTAGCTCTTCTGTCGCATCAACTTCATCATTCTTATCGTCATCTGGGAGCTGAGAAGATTCTATCTCCCCGGGGTCTGTTGGAGTAAGCAAGAGGTCTTCATCAGTACCAGCTAAGTCATCAGTCTGAGGTTCCAAATTTTCTGGGCTTCCCATTGATAAAATGCTATCAAGGTTTCCAACATCTTCAGGATCAGCAATTAGCTCTCCCTCTTCCCTTTCATCCATCGCTAGCTGCTCGCTCTCTTGTTGCACCTGAAATGTTGATTCATTATCTGGGGTAGGCACTTCATTAGAACTGACAAAAGTATCATCTGCAATATCTGTTCTATCAACCTGTGACTCAGCCTGATTTGTTGCAACAACTAACGGCTCTTCAACCTGCTCGCCAGAAAGTGTAGTCTCATCCTTCTCAATATCACTAGCTTCCTCTTTCAAACCTTGGGTTTCATCTCCAGCATCATGTTCCTCCGTAGTAGGCAGAGATTCTGAATTTTCTACATTATCAACAGATTTATCTTCACCGCCCTCTTGAGGTGCCTCTAGATGTTTGGACTTCTTAAGCACAGGTTGAGCCACATCTAAGCAGGTTTCATCCATGGCAGGAGTCTCTTCTTGTAACTCTGAGGTAGAGGAGGTAGAGGCTGCAGATAGGCGCTTGCGAATTGGTGGTTGAGTTGGTAATGTGGCATTATCAAGATTTTCTGCCTTTTGAGGTGGCAAATGCTTCCTACTGTTGGTGGATTCATCTGTATCTTGCATCTCTACATCAACTAAAGGTTCCTCCGGCTTTGTGATGCGTGGTCGAACCAACTTCCTTCCGGTTTTACGAGTTTCGGAGGTTATCTTCGATAAAACAAGTCTTCTTTCTTCTTCTGCTTTTCCAACTGCAGGAATGGAAGTCACCAAGCTAGCTGGTGGCGGAAGCGTAGCTGCTGGGCCTGGAACAACAGAGGCAGAAAGAGAAGCATCTGGAGCAGAAGCATCACCAGCACCAGAAACCCCGAGCTCATTACGTGCAACCCGTTCAAAGTCATCTACAGCCTGAAGATATGCAGCAGTAAAATCGTCCAAGTGAGTCCCCGAAAGTAGTTGATCCACTGACGTGCCCTCCGTTTGACTGCCTTTGGTTTGCCTTATCTTCTCAACTTCATCAGTAAGCATCTTCAGAGCCTGCTTATGCTTGTCGATTTCATCTGATAGCTTGGACCGTTGCTGATTCACAGCTCCATAGGAATCCCCTATTGTCTTTTGCATCTTCAAGCGCTTTGATCTCTCTTGTTTCAACTCTTCTCTAAGTCGGTCTGTGATCTTCTCAAGCCCCTGGATTCTGGTGTTTTTCTCCTTTTCTTTATCTTTCAAAGCCTGTTCATCTGCAGCATCAGCAGTTTTTTTCCCTTGTTTAGCATCTTCCAACTGTTTGGAGAGAGCTTGATTCTCTCTAGCCAAATCATCTTTTTCCTTTGATAAGCTGTCTGCTCTTTCCTTTTCCTTCAACAAGTTGCTTTCAACCCTTTTCTTCATTAGACCTGTCAACTTTTTATGTTTATCAACGTCGGATCTCAGCGAGGCCTCAGTTTGCAGAATCTCATTGATTCTCGATTCTCTCTGACTCAATTCTGTTCTGCTCCTTGACAGGTCTTGCTCTAAGTCAGCTAACAGATTCTGCTGCTCAGACATGGCTTTCTTAACTTTCTCCAGTTCTTCATTTTTTTCTCTCAGATTCACCTGCATCTGTGAAGCAGCTTCTTTTAGACTTGCATATTCTTCTAGGTCAAAATTCTTATACCTCTCAACCAACTCACTAACCCTCCTCTCAAGCTTCTCTTTATCCAGCTTCAGCATTTCAATCTCTTTCCTACAAGCTTCTACATCAGCTT